TTTAGTAGAGACGGGGTTTCACCATGTTGGCCAGGCTGGTCTTGAACTCCTGACCTTGTGATCCACACACCTTGGCCTCCCAAAGTGCTGGGATTACATGCATGAGCCACTGTGCGTGGGCCTTTTCACTTACTTAATGATGTCTTGGCCAGGCGTGGTGACTCACACCTGTAATCCTGGGAATTCGGTAGGATGAGGCAGGAGGATTGCTTGAGCCCAAGAGTTTGAGATCAGCCTGGGTAACACAAAGAGACCCTGTCTCTACAAAAAAAAAATTTAAATATTAGCCAGGCATGATAGCATGAGCCTGTGGTCCCAAGTAGTTGAGAGGCTGAAGTGGAAGGACTGCTTGAGCCTTGGAGGTCAAGGCTGCAGTGAGCCATGACCATGCCACTGCACTCCAGCCTAGGCAAGAGACCAAGACCCTGTCTCAAAAAATAAAGTGGTGTCTGCTGAACAAAAGTTCTTAATTTTAATGAAATCCCATTTGTTCATTTTTTCTCTGATGTCCAGTGCTTCTGAGGTTTTGTTTAAGAAATCTTTGTCTACCCTGATGGCCTTGCATTCTGAAAAGAAGGAGGCTAAATTCAGGACAGCCTCATTCGTTAAAGTTTCAACAAACATCAGAGCATGAGTGCCCTTTCCAGCCTTTGACATTAAGCCCCTGGGCTTTATTTTCCCATATTGGTATAAGCAACCGTCAAATCCAATATGGCAGAGATTGTCTGGCTTGTTCAGGAGGCAAAGAGTTTCATTTAATCTGGTCTCTATGGAAGTAAGATTGGCACAGCCCCCCACCTCCAAAACAGACATTTAACTGAGGTCCCCAAAGCCAGAGAGGACCTAAGAGCAGTTTCCCCTGATAGTAGGAACTTGCGCTCATTGCCCATTTTCAGATGCATCATTTACACAACACGTGAAAGCACCGTCTTATAAGGTAAGTCTTCATACAGATTCTTGGCTTGCCCCAGTTTTATTATTGAGTGGGAAAAAAACACTCTCTTTATTATCCTTGTCAAAGCAAGACATTGTTATCTGTCACAGAACTAACAGTTCCTGGCAGAAACTAAAGAGATTGGAAAAAAGAGTGGTGGTAAGCAAGCAGACAGCTAAAACAGGCAATGAAAAAGGTGGGATAGCAGAGTGAGAGCAGGGGAGACTTGCTTTTCCTGAGTTCTCTAGACATTAAAGGATCTCAGTTCTGAAAACTGTTCAGAGGACACTGCAACAGCCCAAGAAAGATATAAATGGGATATTGGCAGTGAGAAAGGAGGTTGGTTGTGAAAAAAACCAGCAGAAATCATCTAAATGAAATACATGCAATGTACACTTGTATGTGTGAAATTTTCTCTTATCCAGTCACTTACACTCAAGTCTCTCCTCCCTGGTGCCCACTCACTACCACTAAAATCCCTAAAGCAGGACTTTCCAACTCCTATGTCTACAGGGCCAGGCAAGTATGTAAATGAGGGATACACCTGTATTAAGACATCAAGAAGTGGTGGGACCCTTAACACATCATAAAGACTTTGGCTGATTATTGCCATATGAGAATAATCGTCCAATAATATCAGATCTTTTGACTTTTTCAAGAGATGGAAGAAACTGCAATTTTACTTTGTAATTTTTCTAACTTTAGTATATCAGGTAGACCAAAATATCTCTGTGAGTTGAATTTGGCCTATGGGCAGCTAGTTGACAACCTCTGTTTTAAAGTGTTGCAGCAAAATAAATAATATATGCAGATTTCCAGGGTTATAAAAGGTAAGAAGTTTGAACAGGTTCTAGGCCATAAGACAGTGAAAAAGGATTAACTTTCAGGGACAGAAAGTCTAATGGACTCAGAAACTATAAAACCTTACCCATAATTGAAGAAGAACTCAAAACAAGGTATCATTTTCTCCCCATAATACTAGCAATAGTTCATGTGTTGGTGAAGGTCTGGAGACACATGCAATCTCATACACGGTTGGTAGATTTGTAAGTCACTGCAGCCTTTGGTGGTGGGAGTCAACCAATCTGACAGCTTTTATCAAAAATTTAAAAATATACACCCTTTGATGCAGCAATCCTGTACAGACATTTTTGCAAAAGTAGGCCAAGACAGATGTACAATCAGTTTTAATGCAACATTGTTTATAATGACCAGAAACTGGAGACAAGAAGTCCTGGTTGTTGAGGACATCATATAAATTGAATGCTGTATAGTTATTAAAAGAAGGGGCTAGACTGAGATCCTCTGTAAACGTTGGTATGAAAAAAGCTCCAAAACATATTACTAATTAAAAAAAATAGTATTACTATATGCTTCCGTCTGTCTCAGTTTTTTTAAAGGATGCATATACACAGTAGTATGCACATTACATTAAGTTCTGGAGAGATAAGACACTGTTCGCTGAGGTTACCTCTTGAGTGACTACAGACACTGGAAAGGAGTAGAATTGTACTGATGGACACACATTGTAAAAGACATACAAGTAACAGAGATGTAATTTTTTTCTTTTTTGTTTCCATTACATTTTTCTGCATAAAAACCCCAAAACCAATAAATGTTACCGTAAAAACAAAATAATAATCATCACTTGGATTTATTTTTAAAAGAAAGAAACTATATTTATTAGAGAGAAGACAAGTGGAAAGGAGAGGAGGGCTCATATAGCACACAGTAAGAAATCGGTAGAAGAGACTGGGAGAGAATTGGGAGAAACAAAATATCCACACTCCCCTCCTCTCTCAAGACCCTGCAGACACCATGAATTACTCAAGCTTTCCACTGGAGATGAACAGCTCAGTGCCCCACTCCAGTTGCCAGCTATTGCAATGAATAGCTGGCAGCTGGAATGGGGAAGATAACAGGTTGGGGGAAGGCTGGTGCAGTTAATCCAAACCCTGCCTTTTGTAGTATGGATGAGGCAGAATAGTTGTTCCTAAAGAGCCTGAAGTGGCAAAGAACACTGCAGCTGAACACAATTGTCTTCTCGGCAGACAGCAAGCCTCCTAAAGTACACAGTGCAAAGGCACATCAGGGGTCCTGCCACTATACACATTTCAATAGACTGTAAAAGCAAGAGCCAGGTGCCTATGCAACAGAGGGGGCAGGAGAAATCCCTGCTGCCCTGAGGAAACCGAGGGAACCCTGCTCAATGCCAGGGACACCCCTCTAGGCTACACGGATCTGCTACAATAGTTCCAACTATCTCTTAACTGCCCCATGGAGAGAATCAGCTAGGAGTAAAAATCATCAAGGAACATAATCTTCTGTACTTAACTACTTCTTTCATCCGAGGCCCATGAAATAAATTATAACATCACTTAGTTTGCATGATATTCTTCTGCAACATTGCTTTATGAAATGGGAAACTACCTCCATGCAGAATTTCCAGAGGAGCTAGCTGGCAATGCACAGAGGTTTTTAAATAAATAAAGCATGGCCAGTTTTATGTACAGGTACCATAAAAAGTAGTCCCTCTCCCATGGGACTTAAGGAACATAAAAGAGCCTGCTACCCACCCGTATTCCCACATCCTTTAATGACGTCTGAGATCCCCCCCATTAGTGATTCATACCATCATTCAGGATTGTCCTAGGTATGCTCTTTTCATAGTGCCATGAGGAGAAACACAAGCGGTCCTGAACACCATGAGGCAATGGCTCTTAACCTTTTGTTGTTGTCACTACAAAAGTCACTAGTGCTTCTGATAAACAGAAAATGCACTTATTTGAATACACAATATATAATTTTCATTTTTTTTTGCAGTTGTTTTTTTTCTTGAAGCCCCCTTAGGGATCCCCTCCCTATTCATGCTTAAGAACCCTGGCTCAGTAGCAACAAGTGGCAAATCTCCACCTCCACTTCCTCCCCTATACCCACCCCAGCCCAAGAGCTCCTATGCATCTGGGGAACACTGGGCCTAAAAAGAGAAGGCAATACTGAAGGGATGCTCTGACTACTTCAGATAATTGCCTAGAATTGACCCTGTCTAAAGTCCAGATTACTATTTATGATGCCTCCTCTGCAAGAAGTGTGGATTTCTCACTGTCTATTCCTTAGAAACAAGCTCTCCTGGCTTAGAGACACTATACATCTTAAGAAATGCCCAGCACAGATAACTGCCAAAGAGGTCTTCACAACACTTACTGGCTGGTCATACTACCTCAAAAATGAGGTAAGGGAAAGTTTTAACACTGTGTCAATAAAGGGGACTCACCTCTGAGGTTTTCGAATGTCCCAGAGTCCCACTCCTTCCTTTGAATTGGCTGTGGCCAACAACCTGGGCTCCACAGGGTTAAACATGACACTGTGAAAAGCTGATGGATAGTTTGCCAGGCAGAAGGGCTCTGTGGAAAGAAAACTTATAATCAGTTCATTACAGGTACCTCTGGGTCACTGGCAGGCAGATAAGCAGGAATGTGAATGCAGGTAGGAGCACTCTTTAATAACCACTCCAACGGCCTGGAGCCCCAAAACAGCACATAATCCCACCAGTCACCCCTATTCGCAAGGTCTCTATGAATCCCATACATAGCAATGTGAACAAATTAGACAAATTTTAAGCTGTAACACCCAGAAATATATATATAGCAGCTATCAGATCCTGAGACAAAACAGAAACGGTCACTAAAAATGGGAAAATAAGCCATTTTACAGTAAGTAAAACTGAATTCCACATAAGCAGAAAAAACTGACAACCAATCACTGGTAGGATTATTATGATTTCCAATTGTATCAGTTTTAGAAATTAAAAGTTGTAAAACCACACACAGATTTGATGAAGATAAAATAAAACAATGAAAAAAATCAAGATATGGTAAAGCAATAGTGTAGTTTTTCCCTTCTGGTTCACAATGCTCCCTAACATCCAGCCAGTATGTAATCAACTTCACCTAGAAACTCTGCATCATTTTACAAAAATCCGCAGGTTCCAAGTGAGAAAGAAACCACTTCGTTACCTAGCAGCATATACTCCTATGGAACCTGTTAGACTAATACAAAGAAAGCATTTCTCAGTCCATGTCTTCCATACACAGCAGTTCACAGGCCTCTGAGCAGGTAAAGCATTCAGTCATCCCCATCATCAGGCAGTTTAGACAAAGGAGAATTTCACCTACCAAGACCACAGTGACTCGACCACAGCTGCTACTTCCTGCTACCTTACCTGCCTAACCCTAAAAACAAGCTTCTCTTATAGCCTGAACCTCAATAATAAGCACAACCCAAAATGTAAAATGTTTAGTGGCACTGTTTACAATAGCAAAGACTTGGAACCAACCCAAATGCCCATCAATGATAGACTGGATAAAGAAAATGTAGCACATATACACCATGGAATACTATGTAGCCATAAAAAAGGATGAGTTCATGTCCTTTACAGGGACACAGATGAAACTGGAAACCATCATTCTCAGCAAGCTGACACAAGAACAGAAAACCAAACACTGCATGTTCTCACTCATAAGTGGGTGTTGAACAACAAGAACACATGGACACAGGGAGGGGAACATCACACAACAGAGCCTGTCGGGGGGTGGGGGGACTAGGGGAGGGTTAGCAGGGGGTGGGGGGATTGGAGAGGGATAACATTAGGAGAAATATCTAATGCAGATGACAGGGGAATGGATGCAGCAAACCGTCATGGTACATGTATACCTATGTAACAAATATGCATGTTCTGCACATATACCCCAGAACTTAAAGTATAATAATAATAATAATAATAAAGAACTTCAAAAACTCTTCCAAGACTTTTAAGATTACTTTTGTAACTTTTTTCTGTGGCACATTTTTAACATATAAGACTTTGTATATTCTATAGGCATTATCAATTTTGATTTCTACATATAACTATTGTTCATCTGAAATCTATGAGATACAGATATAGTGCACATTTATCACAGCATTGTTTATTGTGTATTACTTCTTTTCTGCACTAATTTTGTGATCTTTATCATATATTAAACTCATGTATAATTTAAAAAAAATTAAAAGACCTAGATCCTGCCAGACAAAGCAGGCAGGATAGTAAATTTAGGTACACAGGTGTGATCGTTACAATGTGCACTAAAGGCCAGGGTGGGTATGGCAGGGGCACTAAGGCTGGTCCTAGAGGAAGGGGCCTTTTGAAGACAGGTAGAATTACAGAAATCTCTCTGTAGGAAATCAGCTGAAAAGATGCATTTCCTGAAGAACTTCAGAGAAAGTCAACAAAAACAACTTCTTCATTTTACACATCAGAGAGTCAAAGGCACATTCAGAGGAGGCACTCACACAGACAATCCCCTTTAAGTAGAGTTCATTTGCCATCATTTTAAGATGTATACACAGGTAATTTGAGGTTCTGTGGTTCTTTTGACAAAATAACACACCTGAAACTAGGATGCAGAAAAGTGCATAACACCCCCATTTTCTGTAAATAATCAAGAATTACATGTTAGCACCACAACTTCTGCTCCTTGGGGCACTAAATACCAAGGTACAAGAGTTTGTGTAGAGTCACAGGAGGGTGGAGAAGGACAGGTGAAGGTGCCTCACTCCTGAGTACTTAGGTGTAGGATAAGACCTCCAAAGACCTCTTACGCCTCCATGTAAGAGTTTCACATTTCCTTTCCCTTGAAATCACTTGCACATAGATACTTAGGTCATAAATTGGATCTGTAATGAATCTGACATCAAACTGTTCAACACAGTCCAATAGCCCTTTGCACAGTGACCCTACCTCCATGGGGAGATTCCCGGATGTCCCAAATGAGAACCCGGCCATCATCTGAGGAACTGGCAAAAATGTTGTCATTCACTGGGCTCACAGACAAGCCATATACTGCATCTTCATGAGCAAACACGTCCAGTGTCTCACTGCTGGGAGATAGAGAGCAAGACAGAGGCACACATACACACAAACATAGTGCAGAGTCCCAGCCCTTCGGTACCAAGGATGCCATCTTTTCATTTCTAGAAAGTCAATCTAGCTGAGTCCCAAAAAATATCATATTTCCTAAAAGGTAGGTTGTCAACTTTCAGGTTTAAAAAAAGGTACTATTAAGGAATCTTTTTAGAGATTTTATAATTTTTGTGCTAAATAAGCATATTTAAAAGTGACTCAATAGCTGAGTTTTGTGTTTTCACTTATTACAGAATGTATCTGCTTGTGTACTGATTTGGGGGTTGTACTTGGTTTTCAAAAAGTAAGGAAAAGCTTTAAAGCAGCCAAGTCGGATGCCAACAGGGTGAAAGAGGGGTCTCCTAGCAGTCTGGCATGGTGATGAGGAGCATGGCTCTGAGGCCAGACAGTCTAAGTTCAGCTTTTAGCACCACTTGACCTTCCCTATCAACATGTCTGTGCCTCTGTTTCCTCATCTATAATGGAGATCACAATAGTATCTCCTTAGAAAATGAGTGTGAGGGTTAAATGAATTAATATGTACAAAGCATTTAGAATGGTGCTTGGCACATAGTAAGAACTCAATCAATATTAGCTATTACTGTTCTTAAATATTATGCTTCCTTGTCTTTTAAACTCTCCTTTTAAATTTTCCCCTAAAAAGTATACTTTCATATCAACTTTCAAATCCCTTTTTCCTTTTTAAATCAAAACTTTATTTCAAACTATTGTAGGAATCTTTTTTAGAAAAGAACAGCTGGTTTCATGCTGTTTTCTTAAAAAAAAAAAAAAAACTATTTTCTTCTAAAGAGATATTTGCCTCTTCATATGAAAAACAAAGTCAGTCACCTTCACACACCACCAATCTATTTACCTTTCAACATCATGGAGGATAACTTGCTCATCGTTTCCTGCAAAAGAAAAAAGCAGGCATTTGATCATTCCTGCAAGGTGGTCCCTGTCCACATTACGATTTAGTATTATTAAGTTTATTCATATTTTTTCAGAAAAAAAATGAATAATATGAATAAAGCCAATGCTAATACAAATTAGAAGTGTTAACTAGAAAAAAGATTTATAGAAGTAATTTAAGAAGAATAGTACATTCTTACAGAGAATTTTTTAAAAAATAATACCAACTAAGTATAATATAGGAACAGTTCCCAACTGTATTATCCAGTGGATGATGTAAAAACAGCAACAACAACAACAACAAACTGTGGCTACAGCCTGGGCAACATAGTTAGACCCCATCTCTACAAAAATTAAAATTAAAAAATTAGCCAGGTGCTGGTACACCCTTGAAGTCCCAGCTACTTTGGAGGTTGAGGTGAAAGAATCACTTAAAGCCAGGAGTTCAAGGCTGCAGTGAGCTATGATTGCGCTCCACCCTGGGCAACAGAGAGAGACTGTCTCGAAAAAAAAAAAAAAAAAAAGGAGGGGAAAAAAAACAAAAAAAAAAAAAAAAAAAAATGGGGGGAAACAACACAAAACAAAACTGTGGCCATCAAGGAAAACAGTAAATGATCATGAGCAAATCAATTCACTAACTTTTCTTTTACTTTTTCAGCAAAATACTCATTAATTATGAGAAGTGCAATAAAATCTTTAACATTTCCATGACTCAACTTTTTACCTACAGAATAGGGATGGTAATTTCATAGGGTAATTGGGAGTATAAGAGTACATCTGTAAAAGCATTCGGATTAGGGCTGAGCACTTAATAAGCCCAAATTAAATGTTTGCTAATATTTCTATCCTCATGGTCTTTTAAAAATTTTTATTTCTTTCTTTTAAGACAGAATTTTGCTCTGTTGCCCAGGCTGGAGTGCAGTGGTGCAATCATGGTTCATGCAGCCTCGACCTCCTGGGCTCAAGCAATCTTCCCACATTAGCCTCCTTAGTAGCTGAAACTACAGGCATGTATCACTATGGCTAATTTAAAAAAATGTTTTTTTTTTTTTTTGTAGAGATCTAAACATGTTGGGTCTAACTGTGGGGTTCTATGTTGCTCAGGCTGGTCTCAATCTCCTGGGCTCAAGCGATCCTCCTGCCTTGACCTCTCAAAATGCTGAGATTATTACAAGTGTGAGCCACTCTGCCCAGCCTCATCATCTTTTATAGCATTAAAATTTGATGATGGTGATTCTAAATGATGGGGAAGTTTTAATCTTGTATTTCTACTTATTCAGTCAAAGGATATAAATTATTCATGATATGTGTAGTCCTGCCTTCAAATGGTTTATATAGCAAAAAAATTAAAACCTGAATATGAAAAGACAAAACATAAAAAATGTCCCACCTTATGCTAAAATGCACAACCAACAGTCCCTTAAATAGAACGCAAAAGTAGCAGTAAAGATATGGCTCAGGCCATCTTAAACAAAGGCCTGGCTATAAACCGTGGGTGCAAACCAATGAAATCAGTAAACCCATACTAATGCCTTCCAGGTATCAGGCACAGTGATAGGTCCTGGGTATACAAAAAGAATAAGATTCTACTCCGTCCTTGAGAACTCACAGTCCAATTGCACAAACAACTAATAGCAACAAGAGGGTTTGCCTTGTAGCAATATGATCTAGCTATGGGTTCAATTATTTCTTTCATAAGCAGGGTGAAAGTACATGGAGAAGGAGACGTTTGAAGAGAAACTCAAATAACTCAAAACTCTTACCAATGAAAGGCTTAGGGGAATTGGTGAGGACTGGACAATTAAGGTGGAAGAACAGCATGAACAAAAGGCACAAGAGCAAAACAGTACCATGCAGTACATTCTTAAAACAGCAAATAGTTTGGTGGGCTAAAGTGTATAACTCAGGGAAAGGAGGTTAAGGCCAGACAGACAGATTGGGGTTTAGACTTTATTCTTCAGGCACTGTAGGGTCAACGGTTCACATGGTCCAGTCTCTATTTTTAAAATTAAACTTGTGTATTCAATTAATTCAAATAAGTTTTAGACAGTGGTAACAGGAATCACAGAAGGCCATTGCAAAACTCCAGGCCAAACTAAAGGATGAATCTGAGAGGCTTTTGAGATAGACCTGACAGGACCTGGTGACTGACTAGATGTATAAATGTAAGAAAGGCAGGTTTGAGGATGACTCCAAGATTATGGGTAGAATGAACCATATGAAACTGCCACTTTTGTAAGTTGAAAATGGTTAAATGTCAGCAATTTCTTAACATTAAACCTAATAGCCTATATAATTGGGTGAATGGTAATAACTGAGAAAGGAAATCCAGCAGACAAGAAGAAATTTTCACTCAAGAAAGGACTAATGATCTTGGTTTTAGATCTACTGTATTTAAGTTGCTTTTGGAACACAGGTAGATATCCAGTGGAAAATCTGCAGCTCAGAAAAGAGATCAGAACTAGAAATGTGATGGTCAGAAGGAGTATGGTTGATGGAAGCCATCACTAAGAGGTTGGTGTGAGCATCAGCCATTCCAATTGTACCCTAACATAACACTTCAAACAGGAGCCATCCACAGGTCATGACATCCGTTTGAGTTATGGCCAGCATAATCTTTAAAAATGAAATCTAATAGAATAAAAAACAAAATCAGAGTGTGCCACATATAGGAAGGTTAAGTATTGTTTTTTTTTTTTTTTTTTTTTTTTTTTTTTTTTTTGTGTGTGTGTGTGTGTGTGTACCAGACCACAATGTGAAAAGTTTTCTGCCAAAGAGAAAGAAAGAAAAAGACAGGCGAAGAAAAAAAAAAGAGGAGAGAAAAAAAGACACATACTATCCTAATATGTAATACTGCTGTATTTAAAAGACAAGCAGAAAAAACAAGCTATGAGAAACCAGTAATTCCACAGCTCAGTGAAAAATAGGAGTTATTTTCACACTCTTTTCTCTAAAATCCCAACCATAGTGAAGGTCCCAAGGTAGAATCTCCCTTTTTACCTCCAGAGAACACTTTAGTGTTCCCACTGTTGAAAGCCAGGCAAAAAATGTTGGAATGGTGCTCTCCTTTCAACTGTATGGGCTTGACCCTGGAGTGGATGGCTTGCTCCATGTGCCACAGCAGAACCCGGCGGTCGTCTCCTCCTTAAGAAGAGAGTAAGAATCTATGGTTAAAACAGCTGACATCGCAAGGCTGACAGTTGGTTTTGCCAGCCTCGAATCCCACCTTTTCCAAAACTACACCCCCACCAACTCCATAAAATTCACATGGAGCACAAAAACCCAGGACTCTCCCTGCTTCACCATCAATAGTCATATGTTCTCTAGGCCATTTGTCTTCTCCCAGGAATTAAATCTTAAGCAGACATAGAAAATGAAAGGGATAAGCACTGACACTGAGACTCCTAAAGCCACCCTGTTTCTGTCTTTCCAGAGCCCGGCTGTTTAAATATTTCTTCATTTGCTGCCTAGAATCCTTTCATGGAAGCCCTTTTTTGCTTAACAGAGCCTGAGATGACTTCCATTGCTTGCAACCAAAGAACTCCAAAGTAGTATTTCTAGCATAATGGTTTTTAAAGCAATCTCCTTAATGTGATCTCATTGACTATGGGACACAGTACAAATGATAACTAAGAAATCACCTGACTTTTACAGTAATAGGATCTAGGCAGAATACAGAATATAGCTCAACCCAGCTCTTACCTCTGTGTAACTTGAGGTCTGGGTTTTTTTCCCCACTTTCACTTTTTACTTATACTTTTTTTGCATTGACTTTGTATAACAAGGCCATACTATTTTCCTAATAAAAATTTAATTTACAACAGCAGCAAACCATAGCAAGCTCTGTACCTCTGTCTCCCCTCCTCCATTCAATGAAAAACGTAGCTACAAATGATAGCACATCCATACAAGGGCATACTATGAAGCCATTAAGTTGTTATATCTATGTAAGAGCTAATGTGGAAAGATGTCCAAAGATATTCATTAAGGGGGAAAATGAGGTATAAAACAGTATGCATATCATTAACTATTTGCATAAAACAACATTTTTAAAAAGCTCCGTGATGGCAGAAACCTTGCCAGTTTTGTTCACTGGGAAATATCCAGCATCTAAATGAGTGCTCCAAAGGATGAGCATTGAGAGTATGCTTATACTCACATATCTATGCTTGTATTTGCATAGCCCTATCCTGATGGCTATAAAAGAAGTTGTTTATAGTGCCAACTATAACTGGTAGGCTGGTGTGGAAGACTTTTTTTTTGTGGTAAAATATGCATGTAACTTACCATTTTACCCATTTTTAAGTGTACAATTCAGAGGCATTAAGTACTTTTGTGTTGTACAGCCATTGCCATTATTCACCTTCAGAACTTTTTCATCATCCCAAACTGAAACTCTGTACCCAATAAACAATAACTCCTCCCGGTACCTAGTAATCACGATTCTACTTTCTGCGTCTTCAGATTTGTCTACTATAAGAACTTCATATAAGTAGAATCATACAATATTCTCCCTTATAGGTATGGCTCACTCCCTTAGCATAATGTCTTCAAGGTTTATCTATGTCACAGCATGTATCAGAATTTCCCTGCTTACTAAGGCTGAACAGTATTCCATCATATATATTTTTGTATGCATATTTTGTTTATCCACTAATCCATGAATGAATATTTATTTCTATCTTTTAACTATTGTGAATAATGTTGCTATGAACACGAGTGTACAAATAACTTTTTGAGTCTCTCCTTTCAATTTGGGTATATATGATTGGAAAACTTTTATGTTTCAATTTTTACTTTATACTTTCCTGTACTGCTTGACTTTTTGCCATAGCAGATTTCCTTTTAAAATAAAAAATAGAAGACACAGAAGCCAAATAATACTTATTCTCCTGCTCCTAGAAAATGTCTCTGCTACTTGAATTGTTTGTTTTTTGAGTTTCTTCTTTCTTCCATTGTCAGTCCAAATCAAGTTGTCCACCAGACTGATCCCTGAAGTATGGCCCACAGTGTTCTCTTTATGATTGGCCTATTTCAACTGTGAGTTCTCTGGCCTGGGATAGTATCTAAATTCTGTATTTATTACAGATTTACCACTCTGTCGAACATCAAGCTAAGGTCATGAAAATCATGGTTTGGGTTCTTGTTGCTTTATTTTAATGAAGAATGACACAAATGACTTTCCACACCACAAAGACTGAGGCATGGGCACTTTAGTTCTCTCTAGTCTCCACTCCTATGGTTTTCCCCCAGCACTGAGGCTGTGGGTCAGGGACTTATCACTGCTTCTGCTACTATATTTTTTTAAATTAGATAAGTATTTCTCTATATTCATGTCTCCAGCAAAAGCAAAAAGTTAAAAGAGTGGAGCACATGTTTCTTCTACTTGCTTATGTTTCTGACCTAATCTCCCTTTGACTCAGTTTCATCAAATACAAAATGGTCATCATAATAGTTCTTCTACCCTCATTGGTTTTATAGATAAAGCCAAGTGCAAAAGAGTAATTTGCCAACATCACACAATAAGTCATGAGCTAAGATTCAAAGCAAGCGGTAAAGACTCTATAGCCCACTATTCTATACTTGCCTTATTGAACAAAAAATGAACCATAACTGACAAAGCAAATTATTTTGATGGACAATTGAAGGGATTGTCTGCCTTAGTAGCATAACTCAAAAATGTTAAGTAAGAATAAAGGGAGCCCAAGAGTAGAAACAGAAGCTGACTTAACTCCAGCAAATTGGCCCCTGGAATAAAGTGAAGACCCAGGACTGGACTGCCTGAATTTATAAGAATTCTTGCAGTGCATATAACTAGTAATAGTTTTATATCTAGAAGATGCAAAGAATTTCTACAAATAATTCTTAAAACTCTAATAGGAAAAGAGGCAAAGAATATAACCATTCAGAAAAGGAAACCCAAATACCAAACAGGTATTACAGAGGATCTCAAATTCTATATGGTAATCAGGAAAATGAACATTATAATTTAGACACATTCACACAAAGTGACACAGGGGAATGCACAAGAAAGTTCACTGCAGCTTTGGCCATAATATCAAGAAAACCTGTACACAACACAAATATCTATCAGTTCAGGAATGGATAAATTCCACTGGAATACAAAATAGGTGGAGTCTAAACACAATGGAACACCATACAGCAGTTAAAATGAACAAGAAACATGTATACAAACATAAATAAATCTTGAAAACTTAATGGTGGTAATAAAAGCAAGTTTCAAAAGGATATATGAAAAAGATAAAATTTAAGGATATATATTTTAAATATACAAAACAATACTTTATATTGTTTATGGATGAACACACATGATAAGAGGCTTTTAAGTGTATCTGTAGTGTTTCTTTAAAAAACAGATAAGTGATTTTAGCAAGATTGTGAGATATAAGGTTAATATACAAAAGTCTATCACTTTCCTATACCCCAGCAATGAACAAGTGGAATCTGAAATATAAAATAAAATATTTAGGTATAAATTTATGTACAAGCAGCACATCACTATTTTATAAAGAGTACTACAACAATGTTATAAAAATAATAAAACTTATCCATCTTCCTTATTTTTTTTGAGACAGGATCTGGCTTTGTCACCCAGGCTGGAGTGCAGTGGCACAATCTTGGCTCATTACAACCTCTGTCTCCTGGGCTCAAGNCCAGGCTGGAGTGCAATGGTGCTATCTCAGCTCACTACAACCTCCGCCTCCCAGGTTCAAGCAATTCTCATGCCTCAGCCTCACGAATAGCTAGGACTATAGGCATGTGCCACCACGCCTGGCTAATTTTGTATTTTTAGTATAGATGGGGTTTCACCATGTTGGCCAGGCTGGTCTCGAACTCCTGACCTCAGGTGATCCACTTGCCTCAGCCTCCCAAAGTTCTGGCATTACAAGCTTGAGCCAACGCACCCGGCCAAGACTCAGTATTTTTAAGATATCAGTTCTCCCCAACTTCGTCTATGGATTCAATGTAATCCCACTCAAATTCTCAGCAAGTCATTTTATGCATATCAACAAAATGACTAACATTTATAGGAGAGTCAAAAGGTCCATAATAGTCAACATAATTTTGAATAACAAAGTTGGAGGACTGACATTACCTGACTTCAGGTTACTACAAAGATATACTAATCAAGGCAGTTTAATACTGGCAACAAATAGACAAATAGATCAATGGAACAAAATAGAGAGGCCAAAAATAGACCCACATAAGTATAATAAAATGATCTTTGACAAAGGAGCAAAGGCAAAACAATGGAGCAAAAACGAATCTTTTCAACAAATGGTGCTGAACCATCTCAACATCCACATGCATAAAAATGAATTTAGATATAGACTTTACACCCTTCCTAAAAATTAACTCAAGATTGATCATAAATCTAAATGTAAAACATAAAACTATAAAAATCCTAGAAGATAACAGGAGAAAACCTGGACGACACCAAATGCTGGTCATGATGTAGAGCAACAGGCAATCTCATTCACTGCTGGTGGGACTGCAAAATGGTACAGGCACCTTGGAAGATAGTTTGGCAGTTTCATACAAAACTAAACATACTCTTATCATGCAATCTAGCAATCAGCTCCTTGGTATTTACCCAAAGGAGCTGAAACTTCTATCTACACAAAGACCTGTACATGGATTTATTTTACAACAGCTTTATTCACAATTGCCAAAACTTGGAAGCAACCAAGATGTCCTTCAGTAGGTAAATGGATATACCAACTGTAGTATAACCAGACAACAGAATCTCATTCAGTGATAAAAAGAAATGAAATGTCAAGCAGTAAAAAGACATGAGAAACCTTAAGTGCATATTACCAAATGAAAAAAGTTAAGCTGCAAAGGCTACATACTGTATGATTTCAACTACATGACACTCTGGAAAAGACAAAATCATGGAGACAACAAAAAGATCAGTAATTGCCAGGGCTTGGAGGCAGGGGTTGAACAGATGGAATAGAGATTTTTAGGGCAGTGAAAACCTCTGTATGATATTGTTTTTAATTGAAAATATCTTAATTAATTTATTTAAGCAATATGAACTGAATCCAATAATGTGCTCTAATCTTTTTATATTAACAGAAGATAGAGATGGGTATTGTTTTTATTTATTTATTTATTTATTTAAATTGTACTTTAGGTTCTGGGGTACACATGCAGATCGTGCAGGATTGTTGCATAGGTACATACATGGCAGTGTGGTTTGCTGCCTCCATCTTCCTGTCCTCTACATCTGGCATTTCTCCCCATGTTAGCCCTCCCTGACCTCCCCAACCCCCCCCATTGTCCCTCCCTTGGCCCCCTCAACAGACCCCAGTGTGTGATGCTCTCCTCCCTGTGTCCATATGTTCTCATTGTTCAACACCTGCCTATGAGTGAGAACATGCGGTGTTTGATTTTCTGTTCTTGTGTCAGTTTGCTGAGAATGATGGTTTCCAGATTCATCCATGTCCCTACGAAGGACACAAACTCATTGTTTTTTATGGCTGCATAGTATTCCATGGTATATATGTGCCACATTTTCCTTTGTCCAGTCTATCGTTGATGGGTATTTGGGTTGGTTCCAGGTCTTTGCTATTGTAAACAGTGCCACTATGAACATACGTGTGCATGTGTCTTTATAATAGAATGATTTATAATCCTTTGGGTATATACCCATTAATGGGATTGCTGGGTCAAATGGAATTTCTATTTCTAGGTCCCTGAGGAAGTGCCACACTGTCTTCCACAATGGTTGAACTAGTTTACACTCCCACCAACAGTGTAAAAGTATTCCTATTCCTCCACATCCTCTCTAGCATCTGTTGTCTCCAAATTTTTTAATGATTGCCATTCTAACTGGTGGTATCTCAATGTGGTTTTGATTTGCATTTCTCTAATTATCAGCGATGATGACCATTTTTTCATATGTTTGTTAGCCTCATATATGTCTTCTTTTGAAAAGTGTCTGTTCATATTCTTCTCCCACTTTTGGATGGGTTTGTTTGTTTTTTTCTTGTAAATCTGTTCTAGTTCTTTGTAGATTCTGGATATTAGCCCTTTGTAAGATGGTGGATTGCAAAATTTTTTGCCCATTCTGTTGGTTGTCGGTTCACTCTAATGATGGTTTATTTTGCTGTACAGAAGCTCTGGAGTTTAATTAGGTCCCATTTGTGTATTTTGGCTTTTGTTGCCAATGCTTTGGGTGTTCTCTGTATGATATTGTAAAGATGGATGCATGTCATTACATTTGTCCAAACCCACAGGATATACAATACCAAACAACCCTAATGTTCACTTTTGAACATTGGGACTCTGGGTGATTATGGTGTGTCAGTGTATGTTTATCAGTTTTAACATACAACTCTGGTGGAAGATGCTGACAATGGCGGAGGCTATGCAGGTGTGGGAATAAGGGGTACATGGAAAACCTCCGTATCTTTCTCTTGATTTTGCTGTGAACCTGAAACTTCTCTAAAACAAATAAAGTCTTAAAAACGAAACTTCATAAGTAAATCCTTCTACAAGTATAATAATAATAGAAGTAAATTTAACAAATCATCAACATTTTGTCAAATCTGATTGGTATCTCTCTACTTTGTTTAAATATTTCATGATATTAAGGAAGTGTTGTTACATCTCTTAGGTATGATAATGGTATTGTGGTTATGTTAAAAAAAAAAAAAGAAAAAAATACTTATCAATTAGGGATGCATACTGAGGTTGGTGAAATGGAGCATGTCTGGAATTACCTCTAAAATGTTCCAGAAAAAAAGTAGAGGGATAGATGATTAATAAAATGTGGACAATTGCTATAGATGCATACACTATACTATTCTACTTTTGTGTATACTTGAACAATTTTTTCTTTTCTTTTTGAGAGTCTCACTCTGTTGCCCAGGCTGGAGTGCAGTGGCACGATCTCGGCTCACTGCAGCCTCTGTCTTCCTGGTTCAGCTGATTTTCCTGCCTCAGCCACCTGAGTAGCTGGGACTACAGGCGTACACCACCACACCCATCTAATTTTTTGTATTTTTTTGAGAGACGAGATTTCACCATGTTGCCGAGGCTGGCCTCCAACTCTGACTTCAAGCGGTCTGCCGGCCTTGGCCTCCCAAAGTGCCGGGATTACAGGTCTGAGCCTAGCCAAACAGTTCTGTATTAGATTTGGGCGAAAAGCGACAGTGCAGCACGGTGCGGCGCAGCTCCTGCTCACCTTTCCCCCTTACTGGGCGAGAGGTGTCTATGGGGCACCCACTGCCACCACCACTGCTACCGCCACTGGATGCTGTCTCTATGGCGAGAAGGAGGAGGAGGAGCATGAGCTCAGCGACACAAGTACATAAATAAAGAGTACAATATTTTATGAAACAAATCTTCAACCAAGTATAACATTTTGATGCTTGGCATCTAGACTCCCTTGTGCCCTCACTATGCCAGCAGCAACTGTAGATCATAGCCAAAGAATTTGTGAAGTTTGGGCTTGCAGCTTGGATGAAGAGATGAAGAAAACTCCTCAAGTTATCCAAAAATATAATTACGTTGCTGTGGACACTGAATTTCCAGGTGTGGTTGCAAGACCCATTGGAGAATTCAGGAGCAATGCCAACTACTGCAATGTAATGTAGACTTGTTAAAGATAATTCAGCTAGGACTGACATTTATGAATGAGCAAGAATACCCTCCAGGAACTCCAACATGGTAGTTGAATTTTAAATTTAATTTGACGGAAGACATGTATGCCCAGGACTCTACAGAGCTACTAACAACATGTGATATCCAGCTTAAAAAACATGAGGAGGAAGGAATTGAGACCCAGTACTTTGCAGAACTTCTTACGACTTCAGGAGTGGTCCTCTGTGAAGGGGTCAAATGGTTGTCATTTCATAGCGGTTACAACTTTGGCTATTTAATAAAAATCCTGACCAACTCTAACTTGCCTGAAGAAGAACTTGACTTCTTTAATATCCTTCAATTGCTTTTTTTCCTGTCATTTATGATGTGATGTACCTTATGAAGAGCTGCAAAAATCTCAAAGGTGGATTACAGAAGTGGCAGAACAGTTAGAGCTGGAACAGACAGGACCACAACATCAGGCAGGATCTGATGCATTGCTCATAGGAATGGCCTTTTTCAAAACGAGAGAAATGTTCTTTGAAGATCGTATTGATTATGCCAAACATTATGGTCATTTGTACAGCCTTGGTTCTGGTTCATCCTATGTACAGAATGGCACAGGGAATGCATATGAAGAGGAAGCCAACAAGCAGTCATGACATGAAATAGTCCTTTTATTTTCATTTCAAGCTACACACATGCTTGTACATAGGTTTTATCTCTGGTTGAATCCCTTGAACAATAGACAGTGCCTTTCCCCTGCCCCTTTCATGGCCCATTTTATTGTCTCCCTTTCAGTACTAAGTATGACCATTCCTATCTCAGATCTTAATTAAAAAAATGCATTCAGGTTAAATTTGGCCTTAATATACTTGTTAGCAAGCATGTGTGACAGAGAGTGGGGAAAGCTACATCACTGAATATTTTGATAAACTTTACCTACTTGAGTTTGGTTTATTTTTCCCTTTTCCTAAATTAACTAGCACTGACTGTAATTTATTTCCCTGTTTCATGTCTCTCCCTTCCATTCTGCAGGAGTTTTAGCTATTTGAGGTTGTGGACCATCAATCTTCCACTTTAGAGATTGATTCTGACTCAAAACCTCTGTTTTATCAGAAATTTTGTTTTTTCTTGATCTTAGCTGGAAAAATGACCATCTGCCAACTTTACACAGTATTTACTTGGTTTTGACCCACATTATATAGCACATTCATTGTGCTGACTGTCAATTCAACAAAACTAAAAAAGACAAGAAACTACTGAGGAGCTTAGTAACTGCTGTTTCTGTACATAGTGTCTAATCTTCCAAGCATACCTAATGTCTGTCAGTTTCTAACTGGCATGTGTAGGCTGCTCTGTGACTGAAGAATTTTCAAACCAGCTTTACACCCTTCAGGAAAAATCCCTTGTGATTGGATGTTTAGTATCTGCCAGGAAACTGGTACTCAAGATGTTGAAGCTACAGTTATTTTATGATAGCACACTTCCCTTGATCTGCTTATTTTTATTCCATCACTGTTTACCCTTGTTTTTTTTTTTGTAGCCATACTTATGATACTATTGATTTGTTGGTTACACAAATCAACTTTATTAAAATCCAAAGATAACAAGTCTTTAAGTATATTTTGTACCAAATTAAATTAGAAAATAAAAATTGTGCTTTCGTAGTTGCTACAAAAGTAAATAATGGAGAGATTTGGTACAAAACAACAAAATACAAAATATATATATATTCTCATATATATATATAAAATAAAATTACCTGAGGAGTATAATGCTTATTTTTTGTGCATATCTTAGCAGTCTATTTTATATATATTGACAAAAGGGACTGTGAAATATTTAGCCATGCAGAATATGTGACCAGACCAGAGCATGTGTAGGAAGACTTTTCGGTAATCTTAACTCTACCTTGAAATGATGGACTACAAGTTATAATATTTGTTACCTACACTTACAATCAGTAATATTAGCAAATCTCCAAATTGGTTTGTCTTTCTTGTACATTCTTTATTCGTGATATTACAGTGCTGTAACTGGGTGGTCCTTTTTAAACAAAACATTATTTGCAAAACAGAGGGTATTATTTGTTTGTAAAGCTTTTGTAAATAAAGACTTCAAAAATGTTTTCTCATAAAAAAAGAGTTTTGGATTATGTTTAATGTTCATGATAGAAAAAGAAAAAAGAAAATAAGACTCTGCAGAATGGGCTGGGATACTCATGGCTCACTGAGACCTATACCAGGAAGCACAGTCTCTCCTGAAATGAAGCAGCTTAAGTAAAAACGGAATATTGTGTGTCTGTAGTCCCAGCTACTAGGGAGGATGAGACAGGAGAATAACTTGAACCCCGGAGGCAGAGGCTGCAATGAGCAGAGATCGCGCCACTACACTCCAACCTGGGTGACAGAGCAAGACTCTGTCTCAAAACAAACAACAAAAGCAACAACAAAAACAGAGTACTCCCAGGTCCAGTGGCTCACGCCAGCACTTTGGGAGGTTGAGGTGGAAGGATGTGCAATCTTAACACTTTGGGAGGTCAAGGTGGGAGAATCACTTGAGCTCACGAGTTGGGGACCAGCGTGGGCAACATAGTGAGATCTTGTCTCTACTAAAAGAAAAAAAAAAAAAAGAAACCAGAATATCTATACTTTTGTGCCCAACTCATAACCATTCTCAGCCTAAGGTCACCCCCATCACCCAGACAGCAATTAATTATCTTTAAGGTTCATTCTAGGCATTTATAGGATGATTTCATTTTGCCAAGTACTCAGTAATTCAAAATTCATGGCTATTTGTTAAATGCCTTGGGATCATTTTAAAAGGTGTGTCCTTAGTAACCAACATGATGATGACAGCCCAAGTCCATGGGAGATTGGAATCACTGAGGCAAAAATTATCGCTGTGATGGAGCCTGCTTCTTGACTTTGCCCTCAAGGTTAGCATCAGAAGATGTAAGCTAAACACACCCGCTTCCTCCACTCAACCCCTCATTCCTTTAGGCAAGGTATTAAGAGCCCTATGCAAAGACAGCAATTTTCAAGTATGCGTCGGCAGAAAACCACCAGTACAAACTGAGGTATAATCTGAAACCGTTAGGCTGCTTTTCAGCCAGCAGAGGGAGCTAAACAGCTGTGCCCAAGCCTCTGACTCAACAAAGCAAAGGAGGGCTGGTGAAGCAAGGGAAAGTCAGTTCAGACGCAAGAGCTCTACAGTTGTCTTCCTTAATCACCTAGTCAGTTCAGAAAGGTAGAGTTTTATTGTTTAGTTCCACACAGAGAGACGGACCTGCAAATAATCCAAGTGAAGAATATTTAGGATCATTTCATATCCTTTAAGCCAGCCCTATGGGCCTGGCAGTTGGATGAGATTGGGGTCAGCCTCAGGAGAGGGAGCCCAGCCCCAACCTCTCTGGAGCACCTGAGGCAGAGCACGGGGACTTCTAGGGAAGGCTAGGCCTTTCTGCTCAGTGCCAGTGCCAGGCAAAGACAAGCAGAGGCCAGGCCTTCTAAGCCTGGTTTCCTCACAAACAATTGCTTACCTTTAACTCATCTGAAAACCCCAAGAGAATACAACTATACACTCTGATTTTAGTTTTTTGGGTTGGTTTCATTCTGCACTAAAAATCACTAATTCATCAAAAAATGTATTCTAATCACATTGTGGCAGCAGCTTTGTAGTTACAGAAAAGCTTTACACTTAAAGAGTACCTTTCCCAAAGGATCCCGAGCTATAAGCAGAAACCATGTAAGCCCTTACAACACTCTATAACAAAAGTAATTATTTAACATTCTTATTTTATTGCTCAGAAAAGCTGGCGTAAGGATTTGCTTTGGGTTTCCTCAAAAGCCAGCCAAGCAAAGGACTGAGAAAGCAGTCTGAAATTCTGGATTGAATGCTCCTAGAACTTACTATTGTTTGAAAGTAAAAGAATGATAATAATTTAAATGTCCATCAATAGAAGTCTGGTTAAAATTATTGTTTAATAAAATAAGCCAGACACAAAAAGACAAATATTGTACGATTTCACTTAAATGAGGAATGGTCAAATCAGAGGCAAAGTAGAATGGCAGTTGCCAGGGGCTGGGGGAAAAGAGGAATGGGGAGTTATCATTTAATGGGTAGTTTCTGTTTTGCAAGTTGAATTCCAAAGATGGATGTGGTGATGGTTGCACAACATGAATGTAATTAATAGCACTGAACAGCAAGTACACTTAAAATGGTTAAAATAGTAAATTTTATGTTTTATATATTTCACAATAAAAAATGCAAGGAAGTTTACTATTTATATATGTATGATGCAGCCTCAAATAAATAAAAGCATGAGGCAGCTCTGTCTATACTGACATGGGATAATTTCTAAAATATAAAGTATTAGTGACTGTATTAATTATTCAAAACATACTCTTAACAAATAGCACAATGGGATTAGATACAGAGCTTGGATGAAACATCTTTGAGAAGCAGCAAAGATGGTGCTATAGAAGGGTACTATAAGTGCAAGCTCGGGAATAAAAGTACCCGGATTCAAATTCTGGTTTCACCATTCATGTGTCCTGGTTATTCTACTCCTCTACCCTAATTTTTTTATTGTAAAATAGAGAAAATACCAACTATTTTGGTATTTGGAAATAGTTGGTATTTTCTCCATATGTCGTGTGTGGTAAGTGGGATAATGTTTGTAAAAGCACTTAGCCTGGTGTGATACATATTAAGTGCACACAGCTCTCAAAATGTCCTTGTGTCCTTGAAGTATCATCCATTAACTTGTCCTAATTTTTCAAACCTTATTTTAGGTAGCATTAAAAGTATGAATAGTATGATACAATTACACAAAAACATACACAAACTTATACATACAACGACAGATGCAAAATGGTTAGCGGATGTCATCTCTTGCAGATGGCAATTTTACTTAATATCCTTTTATATTGGTAAAGTTTTTCCTTTTTTTTTTTTTTAAACTGTGAAGACTAAATTAAAATCATTCAGCCTAGCTTTCTTCTCAGCCCACTTATTCCTTTTGACTGAGTATACTGTGTAAGGCCTTATCTTTTGTGTTAACCATACCTCTCCTAAGCTCCAAGAAGCTGCAGCGCGTTACAGAGGCACAGTCTGTGTGTCATACAGCCCAGCTACACCAGTGTATGGAAAATAAGTCTGTTTTATTATTTTTTCAAAGTGGAAAATAATTGACATTTGTATAGAAATTCAATCACATACACATCTCATTTTATCCTCACTTGTGAGGTAAGGATTATTAGGCCCTTTTTCTAGACACGTATCAGAGGAGATAAAATGACTTGCTAATAATCCAAGGAGCTGGGCCTGGAGCCTAAAACTAAGTTGTATCCATTCTACCAACATGCAGAAGACAGAACAGCACCTAGCATTCCAAATGAGGATGTTCTGGAACTTTACACAAGGAAGAAAAGCATTTTCTAGGACATTTTTTCATTTTAATGATTTTACCTACGTTTAGGTGTAGAGTTTTGTGGCATTAGCTACATTCACATTTTCACATTGTTGTGCAACCATCACCACACCGTATCTCCAGAACTACCCCTTCCCCCTGACAACTGCCATTCTCCCTCTAGTAACAGCATTCACTTAGCACAATGTCGTCAAGGTTCATCCATGTTGTGGTGCGTGTCAGAATTTCATTCCTTTTTAAGGTTGATTAATAACATTTCATCGTCTGTATAGACTACATTTTGTTTATTCATCCACTGATGGACCCCTGGGTTGCTTCTACCTTTCAGCTATTGTAAATAATGCCACTATGAACATTAGTGTACAAATATCTGTTGGAGTCCCTACTTTCAATTCTTTTGGGTATATAACCAGAAGTGAAATTGCTGGATCCATATGGTAATTCTATTTTTAAATTTTTGAGGAACTGCCATACTGTTTTCTACAGTGGCTGCCCCATTTTATATTCTCACCAACAACATACAAGAGTTCTAATTTCTCCATATCCTTGCCAACTCTTGTTATTCTTTGTTTTTTTAGATAATAGTCATCCTAATGGTATAAAATGTTTGCTGGCCTTTTTAACCTTCAAATAATAGCCTAAAATAACTCGAGAGTCCTTATTAAATATCTCAGAGCACATCATTCTACAAATAGTCTTTCTTTATGTGTACCCACCCTGAAATTCAGTTACCATTTTTCTATTCACTCACCCCACCCAAACCAAAAGAGTTTTCTGTAGTTTATTTAACCCCTACTGTTTTGCATTTCACTGCCTGAAGGAACTAACGTCATATATAAATTTGGAGATTTTTATATTCATTCTTTCCTCAAATCACTTACAAAAACTTTAAAAGTGCTAAGCTCTATTTACCCAAGCCAGCCACTTCTGTGATTAGATATTTTTAGAAGTGGATATAATGTGGGGCAGCATAGCACAGCACAGCATTCAAAACCATAGACTTAGTCTCCATGTAGTAAGACACAGGAAAAAATAGTAAGAAAAAACCCACAGAATTAGGATACATGGACACAGGTTCAACTCTCAATATCATCGGCACTTACTAGCTGTGTGCCTTTAGACAGGTTACTTAACCTCTCTAAATTGCATTCTGTAAAACTGAGAAAACAACACGACCTATTTCATTGTATTACTGTTAGGATATGAGATAGATCTGTGTAAAAGACTTGGACCATTGCCTGATACATATTACGAGCTAGATAAATGTTAGCTAATTATTATGCGATTTGAACTCAAACAACAGCTAACATCAGTTAAGTTTACTGTGGGTCAAGGACTGTCCTAAGCAGTGGCTCTTCCAATCCTTTTAACAACCCCATGAAGTAGGAGCTGTTGGTAGCCTTATAATTCACATGAAACTATAGAAACGCTACATAATATGAAGGGGTACACAGCTACCACGAGTCATTGTTGGGATCTGAACCTAGGTAATCTGGTTCCAGAAACTGTGCTCCTTACCATGATGCAATCCAGCCTCACAAATATAACAGAGGCCAGGCAACAAAGTAAATGAGTCAGACTTGCCAGATTAAGTGAAAGAATATATCTGTATTTTTAAAAGATAAAAATATAAAAGAATATATCGTATTTTTAAATGATAAGCCATCATTCAGCTCTAGCCAGTTGTTGCCATAGAGAAATACAGAGG